TGCCCAAATTTATTCCCAATATCTCCTTGGGTAATTCCAGGTAGAGGAGTATGATCTTCTAGACTACGAACCTGGAGAATGAGTAAATGTAGTCCATAACACTTATTCTGAGTCCACAATTGAGCCATCACAGCCGTATGAGTCGCAGCATTAGTCACTAAACAAAACATAAATACGCAAATAAGGGACTTGATATTATTACATGCGTCATATAAATTTAATTAGCGATTGTGTTCTCTTCGTTAAATTGGGGAGTGATAAGACAGTGGCATTGATTGCTTACATTTGCTAACCCACCATTTTGTAGCCGTTAAAAGTAGGAGTATTTAAGATAAATTCTCTAGTTTTCGGGTCATATGTAGCGGTTGTTTTTAATCCTCAAACAAAGGTACCTAATTCCAATATAAGCAAAATACGAATACCCATTTAGAGTTAAGAATAAGAATAAGTTGCTTCAACTAGTCGCGAAACAAGTAAATAAATAAGGGCGATTGTATTATTTTAGGATATCAAATATTAGAATACGGTCATAGAGTATATTTAATAGTTGATTACCGTGACCAAGTTCGGTTTAGCAATAGGTAGCGATGATTTTAAAATTATCAGCTAACAGTACCTATTTCTTTTGTTTTTTGGGAGTACCTTGATCCTACGTTGATATTTTGCCCAAAATTATCGCGTTAGCTATTTTAATTATATTGTAGAATGTGCTAGTACATTAGATTTGTAAGAAACAAATTCGACATGGCGTAAAACAGCCGATGTATAGAAGTATAATATACTGTATTTATACAAAAATATATAGTGTAATATATTGCCTGTTTCAAGAACATATTTAACACGAGCAGTGGTAAACATGAGTATCTATTCATTTATGATTCTGGATGCTATAATTAATTAACGTAATGATGTTAACGTTATTGTATTACTGTATATAAGTGCAGTATATACTGTACAAGTGTACGTATATTTATTTACGAATATGTGATCAATCTTAATATAATACCTGCAAAGCAGATTTCCGCGTAGTAAGATGTAGTTCGAAAGGTATCTTCTCTCCTATTGTGCTAAAGAAGAATAATGTATAGGTGTAGAAGTATCGTATTCCATTAGTGACATTACTTATTATTTTATTTCAATTAGCATCTGCAACATGATACAGTAACTAACTTTTACTATTTGTATGGCAATTTTTCCATTACGTTCATTACGCCTTGTGAAATTTCCGATATTAATTCTTGCTCAAGGTTTAATATCATTACAATGATTTCAAGACTCCAATAAATTACGATGTGATATTGACGAAGAGAGATTATAGCATTATGGAATCGATGTTCGGATCATTAGTTGACGATGCCATCCTACGCTGCGAGATCGATTTGATCGATATTAATTATTTTTATTAAAATGTAGGGATGATTGAATACGGTACTGTACGTAAACAGAGCATAACAGTACTGAATAAATTAGTTCTCTTGTGAGCTTTATCAAGAAAACTTGCTATCGTTTACCTCCATTGCTTTAAATAATATGTATATATACAATATATGTAATCATAATAATTATATATATATACATGTATATATATATGTAATTACAATATTATGTATATACATGTATATATATATAATTAATATACTGTTCTCGTAGCTAAAACGGTCTTATTTAGACCAGCCTACAGTACTATTCCGCCCACACTACAGCGACAGACAGCCGGATTGAACCGACAATATCGTATTTCTGGTCTTACATTCAGTCCTTATTGTATTCTACAGTACGGCATTGGTTGGCATGGTAAGCACCGAGACCTTGCAAGGCTCGAGTAAGTTTGAATATTGAAATTGCAAATCTCTTTCCTATTTTCCCCAATTTTGTTAAAGCCAACAGCTAAGTTCTTTCAGGTCTGATGCTTGTAATAGTAGTATTGCTTTTCAATTCTTTTTCTGTATTGGATTTATTCATTTTTATTGAAACATTTGCCAGCTACTGTAGTCAGTGTCGCTCTTGTTGAAGAAAATCGGCTCGTCGGCAAACGGCAGCGCCAGCGTTGTTCACAATTAATTAGTTAAAAAACTTAAAATATTAAATATCTAATGTTATTGCTGGGATTGCGAGTAGAAACAGATCGATATCAGCGAGTATTGAGTCGTACTCATCTAGTAACTTGCTATTCTTCCCCCAAGGTGTGGATCACATGTCATTGAGGTGATTATTCATTTTTTTTCCTGATCAAATTTGCAAGGCTGATTCCATGGCCAAGATGCAATGGATTCTTTGAACTTACTATAATTCGATACTATGGTACAATAGCGTAAATTAAACCGTTCCATTTGAACGGATTCTCCTTGGATTTTAAAAATGTGCGATCGTCATTTTTACTTTTGTAGACACGATTCAATAGCGATCACCATTGCAACCCCACCACTGCCTTTCATGGTCAACACCAATCATCTGTTATACACTTGACAGTAGAAAATTCGAGCCTATCTATCTCGTTGATAAAGCGTAGCTCTTCAGCTCTTCGTCATAGCATGATAGGCGACTTTCTACTTAGCGACTACAATATTTTTCAGCTTTACTCAAGGAAAGTTTTTTGATTTATGCTGTCGTTGATAACGGACATCCATAGAGTAAAGTAGATCTTGAACCGTTAATTTATACGGTCTGTATGTTATTTTAACAGTGGCTAAAATAAGCAACCTAGTACGATTGCAGCTGTTTTGAGTACGAAAGGGCATTCTTACGGTAAGACAAGGAGCTTAGTATACTGTGTACACTAGTGAAAAATTTTTTTATTAATTAGCGAGCCTGAAAAAATATTTTTCCTTTATCGTGCTTGGCAATCTTGTGCATTTACATTACTGTACAGTAGTTGATTAGAGCCTGTTGTAACGTATTGTAATGTTGTAAAAGCAAACAGTTATTTATGTGTACACAAGGATGGAAAGGCCGTGTAGTTACAGACTAAAGAGAACAATCGTCAAGCAATTAGCTATTATACCGTACCTACTACCCACTACTCAATGTTCCAATCCCTCAAGAGATTTAATTTGGTATCATTGTTTTTTCAACTGTCTATGAAATAACGGTCAATATCTAGTGGGTGATTATGCTCTTCTCTGCCTAAGAATCATGAAAAAAGGTTACACGTTATGGACTGATTTGTTTGTGAATCCAATGGGGCTATTTCTCCAATCGCATTAGTGCAAGATTATTTTTGATCGATCTACTGTACTTGTGCGCGTTGTGGATTTACAAGCCAATATGGGACTACAGGACAGTAGAATGCCTTCGTTACTGTATTGAAAAGTTTTTTCATTCTTTGATCCGCTAATGAGCGACTCAGTTCTCAATATGTATGTCAAGATGAAACGTACAATGATTCGCTATTCCAATTGCAATATGCTATTTCTTTTGCAATTGCTATCTGTTCAGTACAGTACATACTGGTAGTTAGCACTGTGTTACTCAACTCACTTCGCCGTTAAGTAAGGTGCTGAAAGGATCTGCTCGACGAATTTTAATTTTATTTTATTTATTTTAGTAGCCAAGCAAATACGATGATGTTGTTTATTTAAGCAAGCATTTTCTTTGTCGCGTCGCATTCGTAGCATGGAGAAAGACTGTAGCTTTTGAAATACACTTTTGAGTAAAAATTACCTTGACAATCCCTCCAATTTTTGTCTTTCCCCCCAAAAATCTAGTCCACCTTATTCATGATGCTAACGATGATGTAATCTCCATTTTTTTTTGGGGGGGGGGGAGAATGATTGCGATTACCTGTAGCTAATTACAATAAATAAATTAAAGCCCGAACAGTGATCTAAGGGTACAGTACATAGTATTTCTATCTACTATACTGTATCTAGTGAGGGTCAGAGGTCAGTAGGCACTAACGAGGTCATGCTCAATTGCTCACGTTTATCTGATGGGCGTTGTATCCTGCCATATTGCATTGGCAGCAGCAGATCCATGGATTAATAGAAGACCTTCTGGTAGCCCATGGCAGCTCTTGCATGGCCTGGCCTAAATGCACAAATAATAATGAATCATATTGCAGTCCACCTCAATACTTATGTTCTATGTTGTTATTTAAATTCTTAGGGGGGGGGGGTCGCTATTGCCTAAAGGAATTCTATTGTATCCAGCGGTAGTAAATTAAGTAATCTATTGTTATTATTAATTAATTCTTGAAGATAAATCTACCACCATGTGTATGATTATTTTGGGTGGAAGTCAAAAATTGAACAACTTTGCTAGGATCTCTGCCATGACGGATAAATTCTTGATTTTGGGGCTCATAAATTGCAGAATGCTGTAGAGGAGTAGATATACATATTATATCACAGTACGACAACATGCCATTACAATTACAGACAAAGTCGCTAGCGTTAGACTACCAAAGTACATATCAGGAGGCTAAAATAGAGAGGGACAAGAAGGAGATGGAGATTTTCTCCCTTCAGGGACAACTAATAGGAAAAAGAGAGAATTTATTAAGTAGGCAATATAATCGGACACAATAATACCGATCTTAAAATGATACTACACGATACAGTATCGTGCATTCTGCCATTAGACCTATACTGTTGTTACTATTTTTATCATGGAAGAATGATAGGAGCTGTACTGATTATTCAGTAAATAAATACTGCATTGGATTTTCAACTTAAGTTCTCAGTATATTTTCTGAATCCATCGACACCAATGAAAGTCTACAATTATACTGTATATCATGAGAGATATTACAACTCGTTCAACTTTACAAATCATATCCTAGCGAATAGTTGAATTCACCATAGCAAGACTGCTACTACATTGGACGCTTACTGTAGATCCAAACGATAAATTTCTATACTATAAATCACAATCATACCGTTACAACTTATAATTACTTGGCTAGGATATCTGTTGATAACTAATATCACTGTTTTTATCTTTTCTGTTTCAGCAACCGTTTGATGAAGTATAACTATAGAACGTTTCCATTTGTTTGAAATATGCAAGTGTTGCGAGCGTCTTCCGTCGTCCCTCCATTCTCTTATCGCCTTTCTAGAGGTTAGATTATTTTTGACCATCAAACAAATCCTTTCATGATCTTCATCTGTTATTAGTAATATTTACCTTTTACTTCTGATATATTGTACTGTATTATACTATTCCGTAGTAGACGAGTACTATTTACGGTGTTAACACTATCTGTTATATCAAATTATCTGAAATTTCGCTACGTAGACCACATCTAACGTACTTTATACCATAGTTGGTCATTGATATAACGCTATTTTTATTTCCTTATTAAAAGATCATTATGTTAACGTACTTACTCTACTTAGTTAGTTTACCATAATAATTAGAAGAATGATACGCATCATAGTTTATTTCTTACAGTTAAGTAATTTAATGATGACCAATAAGAATATCACTTAAAGTTCAAGTCAATCAATCAATTAATTAATTATTGGTATGCCCTCCCGTTCGCGATATTTCGCGTACTATACTGTATGTGCACAGTACTCACGCTTTATACTTTACTTATTAACGATGACATTAGAAATATCCAACAAGCTTTTCAATGCTCATCCTCAATAACGCATAGAATGATGCTCAATTTGCAGGCAAAATCAACAGGCTCACTCCATCGATATGGAGTGCTTACGGTCTTAGATCTGCAGCCACGTCCGCTGAATATCCCGGCTCATTGTCTGGCGTCAACTTTTTCGTTGATCAAAACCGCAAGGCCAATGTACCCAATACTGGCCATCTTGCTGGTGCCTTAAGTTCTCGTTTTATGAATGAAACTTTTGGACTATTTAAAGATGGTACCAAACCTCTCTTAAAATCAGTGAAAATGACGATTGATCCCAATTTTTATAATTTTCACTATGGTTTACTTGGTAACGCAATGGTTAAGCTGACAAATTTCAACAAGAATGCCTTCAAGACCTTATGTGAAATGACTCTTGGCGATGATAAAAGCTTGCTATGTAAAGTTGAAGCCACGACTGAAGTTACTCAAGATCATAAACTGCACGCAATATCGGATGATGTAACTGAGGAATTGCGTAACTCTCAAATTCGTGATGACCTTAAACATAGCTTGATAAATCTAGAAAAATTAGGTTTGCCATCCGAACCATGCATGATATCATCCGTGGAGGTACGACCTAGCGACTTGGATGAAAATCGAAACGTAAATTGGGCTCAGATGTTAAGTTACTGCCAACACGGCATTCGTAGTGCTATGTTGTCAAAAAAATTTCGGATAGCAACGCGAATAAGTTCTTTAGCTCAAATTAAAGAGTTACACCTAGATATTACCGGAAAAGTTTCTGTAGGCGATACCGTTGATGTTTCTGTTTATGAGAATATAGAACTTAATCGTATTCTATGTATTGGTAAATGTGGAGAAGAGATTGTGTGCAAAGGATATCTAGACTTAGATCGTGAAATTGCTGGCGAATTGCCACAGTGGCGATTACCGATGCACACAGAATCAGATGTCTGTGTCCATACTGACGTTCCTTCAGTGGGCTTCCATCGCGATCGCTTTAACAATGTACTTCTTGAGTATGTAAAAGAGGCAATTTCCAATTCACGATTAAACTGTTATCTTGCTCAAGGCTACTTGAAAGGTCATCTTCTTGAAGATGCTATACAAGTTATTTTTACTCATCGGATAAAAATCGACCCCGAATTATTCAAAATCGACCAATTTCAAGATCTTAAGCAAGAATTAAAGCTACTTAATTTGGGCAAATCATCCTTTATTGTCAATACAGATCTCCAACTACATGATAAAGTATTAATATCCATTGCAAGTAACATCGTTAACTTTAGTATGAAAAATGGTAAAGGTGTTCCGTTTACTGATTGGCATCAGAAAACATTTTCAGAGTATCGCAACAAATTCGGACCACATGAGGTTAGGATATTATCAGTCTTTTAATAAATAATTGATATTTATAGTTAACAGTATTATGATACTTGCAAGTAGTGTTCTCAGTTAGAAGAATTAAGTAGACATAAGATGCTCGTCGTTTTTTATATGAATAATAAATGCGGGTGATAACGAACTTGTTAAAACTAGATATACTGTACTAATTATCATCATTTTCATTTTATCTTATCGCTTTACAAATAGGTTAATATGCCATCAGAAATACCTAAAGATGCATATAAACACACCTTTTATTCACGCTATGACGATTTAGATTACCAGCATATAATTAAAAACTCCCGTTATTTTACTTTCTGCTTCGATGTGGCAGCAAATGCAATTTATAAGCGTTCACCAGCTTATCATACCGGGTTTACCTATGATTTCAACCCAAATTGTGTTAGAGAATTCGACATTTGTTACGTAAATCATTGTCGAGAAAGCCAACAACTTGAAATAACTACATTCCAAAATCATGAAGATCCACAAAAGCTTCACTTCTTGTTGACGAAAGGTGACAAGACTATATGTTATTGTAACATGACAATCGATTTAAATTCATCAAAGGTATAACTGTATCTAACCGTAGCGTATGAGTGTTAGTCATTGCAATGCTCGTGTCATTAAGCTGTCAATATATCCAGATATACGCATTTTAGCAAAATATTTAGAAATTTAAATCAAAGTCGTGACTGAGCTCATAACAAGAATTAATTGTATGCTAATCTTTATAGCATCGTATACTCTCACTGTGATAGAAAATATATACAGAGATACGTAGGTGTTTACTGTGACGCCTTTCATACATGAGTATAGTATCGTAGAATATTATTATTATCTATTCACTGTCAACTGTACCATATGCCATTATATTATAGAATTCCATCGATATTGTATTTGTAAAATTGGGTATTTAACTAAGAAAAGTATTCGTTAACAATAAGTAGCGACAGATCTGATAAACAACATAATACTTTAAGGAACGTATATATGCATATTTTCCACTTTGTAGTCAAAATTTTGACCAACATCTTATTATTTAGAGCTAGAGTAGTAATGACATTGTTACTATAGTCTCTTCTTTTATAGTACCGATTCTAATGCCTTTTATTTTAAATGCGCATATTCAAGAATAAGAGTATCAGTACTGTTTTGGTTTCTAGTTCTATAATAAAACAATTTAAAATAGGTAAACTTTAATAAATTTGAACATAATTTTACACTATTAAATTATTTAAAATTTTCGTAAACTCGAAGAAGCGTTATTTGGACGACTACGTAGGTGCAATGTGTATAAACGCATATCAGTATAGTGTCATATAGATTATACGAATAACAAATAAAAATAAGTAGTAATATGATATTATACAGTTACATACAACAACTTACGTATATCTACGCGTATATCTACCTAAAGCGTCTACCAGTTGAAGGTTGAAGGTTACAGTATTAGTGTTATACCTATCTATATACTTATTACGTTTTCGAAAGTCTTGCAGTAAGCTTATAATATAGAAACTGTATGCATCAACGTAACTAACGAAAATCTCATTCCGTAACTACTGTATATGAATACAGGATGAGAATTGTGTATAGATTTATGAGATGTAACATTGAAAATTACTTTCTCATGTGATATTCTCGGATACTAAATTATCAGGTAGTACAGGACTATCAATGATCTAGTTATTATTGATCACCCAATTCTATAGTTGTTAAAAATCTCGAGGTTGATTTGTAATACCTTTAAATATATATATCACACACATATAACACACATAACTTTAGCCGCAACATATATATTCGTATTGTACGTTTATGGTACTTATTTTAACAAGCTTTTCACTAATAACTAATTATTAATTATCAATCAGGAATTACTTGACCCTAAACGATCTTATGCATGTATGATATACATATTTAGTCACAGAATCCTACCAAATTAACTTAACTTATCTCCTATCTTAGTGAGTTAGCCGTGATACGCTTACAAGACTTTTAATGTACCTTGATAGCAGGATGGTATAAAGAAGTTAAGGATCGATAAATAATTCTACTAAGAGCTAGATTTTCGATTTAAGCTGTAAAATCCGTACCTTGTTTAGCGTTAGGGCATAAATCAGCTTGAATTACAACGAGTAACGTAATGAAATAGTTCCATTTCATCATTCGATAGTCATTGGGTCAAGATTTCGTACTTACATAGACATAGGCCTTTACGACTACAGGAATAGTCTTGATAGTATTTTATTTGCACAGTACAGTAGCACTGTACTGTAGCATTTTGACGGACCTTGAATGGCCAAGATCAAAGCTTCGGATATAGCAGATACTGTTCACTGTAGAGATCAATTGTTGCACTGTTCGAATCGATAGAAGACTCGACTCAAAGAAATATCTTGATATTAAGCACATAAGTTGTCCATGACTCAACTCAGTACTGGCACTAAATTCAAAGTTGAAACACGTCGAAATCCCCAACGAATAAATCAGAATAATACAGTAATAAGTAGCACTCTCACCATCAACGAAATTCTTACTTGATGGTCAGCCTAATTTAAGTCAGGGATGGGCCAAGCGATACAATACTGTACTGTATTGCATTACTTCCATTTCGATAGGAAACAAAAGCTAAAAGTGGAGCTGTAAGGTCTGCGGATGTAAGCTATCATTTCTAACCAATGAAAATATCCAAGTTATCATGGTTATTGTTATTATTATCGTAAGTCTACTGTAGTAAACACTCGTTAGTAAAAATAGTGCATTTAAAATATTTCTTGGTAACTAATACAGTACAGTATTGTATTTTCTTTTATATATAACTATAGTTATGTTTTTTACTCTGCTCTTTATTGTAGATTTATGGTAATGGTAGCGCTGCTGACTGCAGAAATCATGTCCAAAAATTAAATATGATGAGGGGTGAAAGAGAAGCTGCTATACTCTCGTCAGTTTTTTTATTTATTTATTATTTTAAATACATAATTAGAGCCTTAGCTCATTGGAGCTCATGTTGGTGTCACACATTTCGCCTTTAATTAGAAAACCGTCGGAACAGCATACTGAAAATGATTGTCGCAGTATACAAGAATCTCCGGAAGAGTATTCTGAATGCGATTATCGTACTATACAGGAATTTCAGTCAGCTTCCAATGCTGATGATGTACGTAAACTGAATTTTGTAAACTCATATATAACGAAATTGAACCATTTAATACTACACTAGCTACTATTACTCAGACTAAATACACCTATAGATACCACTACCACGAACTCATTGTATTTCATGGGATCAATTTATCAGTCACGATCAAGACGTAAGATTTATACAATCGCATCGATCGAAACAGCAATTGATACAATATCATCATACGGTACTGTATATTATGACAAGATGGCGTCTACTCATAAAGTAGATCCAATAGCTAGCTTAACATTGCGCTAACATACAATACGCATGCAACTAGATTTGTTTATCAACATTTACGGAATTAACTTCTTTCGATAATTAATTATCACGACAGTGCAAATCCATTTAATTTATTTGTCCGTTGTAATCTCTGTCCGATACTCGATGGTATAAGCTACTGTCTTTATCATATTAGGACGAAAATACTGCTCACGACAATGATACTATAGAAGGAATCGAAGTGACGACAGATCCACAAATCTTTCATAATGTCCGCAAAAAGAAAACAAAATCGACTAGCAAATAGTTACGTTATAAGTGATAGCTTAACTTGTACAACACGCTTTAAATTAAAGTAGGAATTTTTACCAACATAAAGAGATGCTATTTAACTTGTCCAAGCAGTAAATAGCTTAAATACTACAATACAGTATGATTATCTTGATGTGATGTAATTGTAAATACTTTTTATATTACATTGGCAGCTCTGTAGCTAAATAAATAAATAGTATTTCTAGGTGTAGATGAATTAACGATCGACGCGGCCATTAGCAAAAATTAACTTTAATAGATATTAGATAGACACCTATCAAGCATCTCAGGAGAAACTGACTAATTTAGGTTTGACATATATTCAGGCCACTTCAGAATAAAAGATCGAAGTTTGATAATGACGACAATGATACAGGTGGACATAGCGAACTGGCCAATATCGCTGCTAATAAAAGTAAAAAAGTTCAAGACCGTTCACTGCGAACGCAAACGCCCGGCAATGAGAATTCTGGACCAGGAAATCACGATATAACTAGTACAAAATGGGATATATTTTTATGATAGAAAGCAAGATTATCCTTGTTTTATATTGATAATATAAATAGATAAAATCTACACTTCTAAACATTATTTATCACACTGATTTACTGATATTAAATATTACTATTACCGTAATGACAATATATTGTCGAACTATAAAAAAATCTTGATAAATAAGTCCTTTCGCTAATTTGATATATCGATTAATGTAAGCATTTATCAACGTGATATACAGCTTACATAAATTTTGTATAGACGACGATTTCTATAATACTGTAATATCTGCTATAGCGAAGCTTGACGTACTGTATAAAATAGGAATAAGTGAAATTCATATTATTTCTTATGATTCCGTGCTAATAGTGAGTGAAATATTTCCTCCTCCACATAGATTATAAAGTTGGGTATAATAAAGATTATTAAATCATTTAAATGTAATGAAACAATCCAAAATTGAAAAAATTTCAGAATAGAATATGCATACTTTCATAGCAGACAGAGTATAGAATTAAATATACAGATTCTTTATCTTGTTTCTATTTTAATCTGCTTAAAGCCGAATGAATTCTAAAATGTAATCGATTTTCCAGGTCGTAGCCGCTATAATTGTCCTTGATATACGTTACAGTGACATGTTAGTATTGATATGGAAATTACGTTATTAAGAGACTCTAGAAGTAAGTAGATAAATATACCTTTGCTTGATTTAAAAGTGATTTTCCTTGACTTACACCCTAATTATCAAGTAAAATGGCAGATTTATTATCGTTATTACGTAATTTAAATACACTTCGTTCTTACTGTATAGCTTAGAAAAAGAATTTATAGTAGTGATTTGTACCTGTGCATGTTCGGTTAATAGTAATCCTAACTCGTAAGTAGCATATGGTGCAATATAGTTATCTTGCCGAGATTTCTTGGAGGTACGAACTGCTTCTTTCAAATACTAAGGAGCATACAATTATTTAATAGGAATTAATTAAAACTTCGAGAGAAATAGCTGTTTGTAAATACCTTAAATCTGTTAAAACTGCATAGACGCCTTATTAGTATGCTCTACTGTAAGTTTACAGTAATACTCGTATAAGTAGTACAATATTTGTACACCCGCATTGCACGTATATTTAAATCCCTAATGTATACGAGTAGTCTTAAAATTGGTTTACCTGCTCAGCCAGCTGAATATCTCGTAGTTGTAAATGTAAAATACCCAGCATAAATACTTGTAGAGAGGATATGTATGATTCTTGAGATCTTTCAGTTTCTAATAAATTATAGAGGAATGCTTGTTATGGGCATAAGTTATGTATTGTGTAGTTCCAATAAGTCACTTTATAAAATTAATATGCTGCCTCGTCCGCGTAGCATTACCAATTAAGAACTGTCTAAGCTGGTGATCACCACAAATCCTAATTGCTCCCCACAAATAGATGACTTCCAGGATCAACAGAACGTAATTATGAGGTTGTAAAATTACATCTTTATATTGATTAGCCTTCAAATAAGATAAGATAAGTATTAATACTATTTTCTCCATGTTTCTAAGACATTATGAATCATACATAATATCTATCTCCGATTATATAAATAGAAATAGATATATTTTTAAATAGCATTACTTTGCGAATAACAAATAGCTCAGGAGCGTTTCCTCGCTTTCTAGCTAACTGCGGTACTAGTTTCATCTGTTCAGAAGCTTGCTTCATGCTACCGGATGCACCTAGTGTTACTAATGAAAAAGTGATAATAATTTACAACATGGAAATTAAGTTTTGTAAAGACAACGGGGAAGAATACTTACTAGCTGCTAGATAGGTATAATACGATTGAGACCAACGAGACTCTTTCTTTAAACTGTAATAAATTACAGCAAAATGTATAACAAAAACTATTTTGATGTATTGGAAGAGGCGTTATATTGCATATAAAACAACATACAGAACAAATTCAGGAACAGCTGACGGCCAATTCATATTAATCATGTGACACCATCCTGTTAGATTAAAAAGTCGAATCAACTCAATAATAGAAAGAAACGAATATACAGTACCTAACTGTACACCTATAAAATTGTAAGAAAATTTCTACTTGAAGCGTTATCTCTATTTTAATATGCTATTCAAAGTACCTCTCTCGTAGCAGCATAACTGCTGGATTGCAGTTTGCTCTTTTGCCACTTGTACAGCAGTGTTAAAAGCATCTAAAGAACCTAATATATCCTTCTGTAATAATTATAATTGATTAATGAATTTCAAGTTATCCAAAGTGGATTGCTTTCTTTTTAAACGAATTTAAAAGGGTAGATTTATAATCTGATACACTGCATGAAATAGCTACCAAATACGCTGAACCTAAAAATTAATTGCAAGCTAAATATGAACTTTAAATTTTAACTTACCTGGATTCTACGAACTCGCCCTTGGAAGAACAAAAATAAAGCTGATTCTTCATATTCTTTTGATTCTGCTATGATCCGTTCTGCTTCCCCGATACCTAATCAAGGTTTATAGTAAAAAACTCAGGCAATACATATCGTATTGTAAGAACAAACTATCTGTGTACAGTATATTACTGGTTGGGATTAACTCTGAAATTGGATATTGTTGTATGTTGATCATATTTATTACCAGCCGCTAGATCTGTTCCATCTAGTCCATAAAATGGCCTAATAATAACATGATACCATAATAATGCCAATCTATCAATCATAAAAAAATAATTTCTGTATCAGTACACACGTAGCTATCAATTCAAAAGGAATTAATTAAATATCAAAATTAATTGAGATTTATTTACTTAGCCAAAGGAGCTTTCATATCAGATGTCCTGCTAGAAAATTCCAAGCATTTAATGCCCATCTCTCTATTTCCACCAAATCCAAATATCTGGGCAAGTCTAACTACTCTCGGCGGAATTAACGATATGCAAACATTAAATAAGCCATAGCCAAAGAAAATAGCACCTTTCAATCGTTCTATGGTTTTAGTATCACGTGTTTCCTCCTATATGTGACACGATGCAAGCTAGATTTTAGCAATTCATTACATTATATAATTACAAAAAGTATAACTAAAGAATTAGTGATACAATATCTTCACTTGTTATTCGTGATTGAATATTAGATTAAAGTAAAGTTTTATAGCATTAAAACATAAGTAATTTTGATTAAAAGCAATCCAAAGTTATGTAGCATTTTGGTTGTCGTCTTTGATCCAAGTGGATAGAACCTACAGTGTTTAGGACTTGAAATTGCTTTTCTGTTGAGTCGCCTTTTGAGTTGGGATCATTTTCACTCTGAATCTCTTCGAATTTATCATCAGGATCTACTGTAGGATTATTATCTTCATTTGCTAAAGAAGATGTTGATACATCATCATTGTTGCCGTTATCTGCTTGTATCTCTTCAAAGCATTCATCGCTAGCTCGATCTGAATCTTTCATAATATCAGAAGTAGCACTATCAGCTCCGCTACGAATTGAACTGTCATTGATAATAATATTTGGAGAAGTACTATCACTTTCAGCTTTGCTCATATCGTTAATCATTTTATAACATTTTTCGTAGGTTTTCCAAGCTTTGCGAAGCATTAGACCACCTTTAATATAACTGGTAATGCCTTGGCGTACAAAAGTAAGAATTGCCATGTATAGAGAACAATCAGCAATAATTACATAACGTTGAAGTCGCTCTGGTAAAGGTAACTCGTCAATCGGGGCTTCCTTTTTCCTAAAAGAGCGACTAATAGACTTGAATAGTGTGTTTTCTTCCATTTGGCATAATTTTTCAGTTGCTTTTAGGCTTTTCAAAGCCAAATCTAACTTTTCATCTTCAAACGTAATTATGGCATTCTATCAAAATGGTATTTAAAATTTTAATGATGGCGTTACCTTTTACCATAAAAATACGTAACCATGATACTACTATTAATAACTTAAAATTTTATAACGTAGATATTACTATTCTTAAATTTTAGATTTTATCTGACGTGTTTAAGCGATAATATTATTTTAATATACAGATAAAACAAGGATCGTAAAACTTCACTTTCTACATAATATTGTCAAAAATTTTTAAGGTCGATGCGAATATACTGTAATCGCGATAAATTTTTTGTATTATTTGTATTACATTACAGTAACAACAAAGCTATTGCCTTACCATGAATAACATAAAACTTGAGCCAGCGTGCATAAGAGGAGTAAAATCTCTACAAGGATGTATGATGAGAACAGATGATAAATATTTTATTACTATGACTTACCAAAATTTATTCATAAATTATAATAAATTATAAATTATACTATTTGTATTTTAAAACAGTCCTCTCAATATTATAAATTGGTATCCTCATCGTGTAAAACAATAAACATTACATTATGTTAGAGATTAAGTTACAGCAGGTGCAATCTCAGAGAATTTATTGCGTCCAAAATAGTTTGCTTATGATTACGTCGATTTACATTCGTTTTTGATTGTATATTTATTGATGATTGAATCATTAATGTGATGATACACCTGATCGTAAATCAATACTTTATGATACCCTATCTTACGTACCACATTACTATTACTTTCGTAATAATGCATAAATTTATTACTTTAGGAGGCAATATTAATCATATTCCGCTACTATACTCGTATTAATTCATTTCGTGGACCATTACGAAATAAATCACCCAACAAATATATCGTATATACGTAAATCAACTGTACACAGTATCTTACTATGGATACGATAGCAATTACAAACGGAGTCTTACATTTAAGCTAACTGCAACAACTATTTTAAAGGAATTTATAGCGCTAAAATTATCCAAAGTCATTTAATTGAACAATTTTCTGATATATTCCATTGACATCATGATCATTACATTCCTATACTCTAACGAAAAAAGTATTCTAGATGCATAATCGCGACAGTCCTGTTTAGATTTATTTTCCGTATGATTATTACGAGAGCGTCTTTATCTTACATTTCTCCATTTTTTAATTCTGCATACTAACTTCGATAAATTGATCAGTTCTAAAGCTTGCATAATTTTTTCTTACTAATTTAAAACATGGTAATCTTGTAAAATGTAAGATACGATTCGAACACTCTCGATATTAAATTTGATTAAATATAAAAGGTGAATAAGCCATTCTTGCTGATGTAGTCTTTGACATTGAATACAATCATAAAGGTATGATAAAAAAGAGAGATTAGAGGCCCTAGAATGAGACTGATGATCATCCATTGAGACAAACATTTCTAAAGAATTTCGTCAATTCGATTGTCTAACGAAGTTATTACTCCAATCTTTTAGTTTGTAAATTGGAAGTGTAAAAAAAATGGAGAAAAATACATCACTTTTTATTCAACATTTTGCAGGTATGGTACCTATGAGTTGTTGTTCTTGCCTTAATTTATCGTTAATATCATAGTTTGCTCATTTGTGTTTATGATAATCACAATGGTACCTTGTAGCGAACACCTACAGTAAATAAATCACCAGATAATAATTATGCACGATCCAATTGATAATTATAATAAAATATATCAAACAGATCGCGCACTACAGTACATTCAATTTTTGACTCTTTAAATAGTGTGAGACGCGAGTAAACAGCTAGTTATTCAATCTAGAAGGGGATATTTAGTTCGAACATCATTTCCTTACAGTATTTATGACTTTTGTAGGGCATAATTTTAAATGATACAACAGTCAGTGTTAAAAAGAGTTCTACTGTGCGTAAATCCACGCTTCATTCAAACGCCGTTTCTCATATAAGTGCAAACTGGAATGAAGGACGAATTGAAAAGCGCTGACATTAGTAGAATTAATTTTTACTTTACAATATCTAATTTCATCTATTAAGCTGGTCTTTAATTAATAGACTACAATTATAGTTATCTCTCATCACTATATTCATAATTTGTTTAATAAGCCGGCGTACTCTACTTTTAATATACAGTAGAATTGCTGTTAAGTGCAATGTCAAGGAGATTTCATTACTAGCTATCACTGATCACTGAAGGATATTCGCTATCAATAGTGAGATAGCCGTATAAAGATGAATTATCCTGTAAAGACTTTTGCATTGTATTCGTTAAACCGATGATGATATTCGTATCACTGTGTGTTAATCTATAGAAAATGATCCCTCAAGTCTACCAATCAATAATGTAATAATAATAGATTACAACTACCGTACATTCTGACTGCAAAACACTGCTGCAAAGTATACTGTATTAGCAGATCCAAAATGAAAAATTATTACGCGTCCATACATGTAGGATGGGTCAGAGACTACAGTACTAGATCTTTTAAGGAAATTATTGAGTAGCCTTTGTTATCTTTTTGAAATTAATATCGTAGAATCACAACAGCATTAATTTTACAGTTCCCGTATGCCTTACTGTACATAGTGTACAGTACAGTATAGTCGATTGTGATAAGAAAAATAGTAAGGCGTTTATTATTTTCAAGTTTCTTGTTAACCTCCATAGTTCAAAGGTATTTTGACTGAGTCATTAAGAATAATTATGACACGGTACGAAAAATGGATACCTGTCTAATCATCTGTATTCAAAGATTTAAATGGTAGTATAACAGCATTTCCTATTAACAGCTAAAATAGTACGATTAAAAATTGACGACAATTGTAAGCTACTTTTTAATTGTGCCTTCGCATCGCCAACGATAAAAAAAAAATAAGAGCTGCAAGTACTGTCCCGTATAACAATGCAGTACAAACAGGTAAAAAGAGACGAAACTAGACAACATTTTATGATAGTTGTATTTTTTTAAAGAAATAATGTTCTGATGGATAAAATTCATTAGTCAATGCATCTTAATGAAGTGAAATTGAATTCATTAAATGTAATAGGTTCAAAAAGTTATGCCGTATAGTAGCGTGTTTGTCGACAGAACTGTTAACTCATTTTTGAACGTATAATAAATAAATCGCGATGACTAGAGTTGCTCAAGATTCTGATCATCATAATCACGTTCATGCCAAGATCGGCTGTATTAGTTTTAGTCATTTGAGAAGCGGGAGAATTTTCTTAATGAAGACGTAACGATAATTATGAAAAGAAACTACGCGCACCAGTAAGTAAAGCCATATTACTGTTGTAGTGGCAAAATTTTTATACGTATGGTAAAGTCGTAGAGATATCAAAAAAAACTTTCAGAAATAATATTTATACTTGTATCTCTATGGGTAAAAGAAAGAAAGTTGGACGCTATACGTGTAAGTGTTCAATGTACTTGATTGTAGTAGATGATTAAATTGGTTAACGATTTTATGACTTGTACTCCTCGCTGAATTAAGTACATCCTGTACAGTATAAAAGTAATCTTATCAATTAGATATCTTGTGTGATTGTTCCGCCTATTCCATATGGAATATACAGTACTGTTCGTGTCTCTGGCTTTCTTAACCCTTAATAAACTACCGTCGATAATGAACAAAAATAGTCGCACGCAATAGATATCTACGTGTAGATGATTTAATCGCCGACATTTCAGGAGGAAAGGCAAAGATACAATTTTGCCTTTGCGGTTAGGTCGTCACAATTACGAATAATAAGCAAGAAAAATGACCTAGTGTAGTTCATTATCAGTAAATTGCATTGAGCAATTTATTCTACTAAGTGGAGACTGAAAGAAAATAAATTGGAATAGTTTATTCCTGAGAAATTTCATTTGGGCAATTGAACACACTAAAGAAGGGAGTCCCAAAATAAACAGAAAAATAGGCCAGAACTCTTCGTCAATAGACAATTTCATTAAGTAATTTATTACATTAAGGTAAAGAGGAATCAAAGAAAATAGACTGCAATAGTTTGTTAATAACAAATTCCATTGAGCTAAATTATTGGAGTAAGGAAGGAGTCAAGGAAATAGGGCTGCAATAGTTCTGTAGAGTAATTTTCATTGGAGCAAATTTTATTGCACTAAGAAGAGGGGGGTGAAAGATAGCGGATCCTTGAAATAATTGAGTGATAGAAAATTTCATAAAGTCGTTTATTATTGGTAGAGGAATGAAAGAAAACGGATCGGAATAGCCAATTTCATTGAGCAAATGATCACACTGAAGCAAGGTGTGTAAGCCAATAGGCTGCAATAGTTCTTTGAAAGGCAAAATTTCATCTCTTACAGTAAGGAAGGGGTCAAAGAAAGCGGACCAGAGTAATCCACTGATTAGACATTACATTAAGGTAGAAAAGTCAGAGAGAATGAAGTGAACATTTCATTGACCAATTGATTGATCAATTCATGCAGGAGTGTAAAAGAAAATAGACTGCCAGCGCTCATCAATAGTCAATTTCATTGAGTAATTTATGAATTATTGGTAGTCAGGAAAGAGTGGAAGAAAATAATCGCTCATGGTTGATGGATAGGTAATTTCATTGAGGCATTTACTGCAATCATTCAAGGTAGAGAAGTCAAAGAACGTTGTCAAGACAGATAGCATCGCTCGGTAAGCGTCTACTGTACTTTGTAACGTTAGTTGAAGGCGGTGATTGTCTATTTTGACTGTGTCTAGCTAGGATGGGAGTAGAGAACTTTTGCAAGTGCTTTATGTCAAATAGCACTTTGCTGTGTCAATTATTCTTTTTCAATTTGATAGACAAGGAGAAGAAGAAATAACTTACCTGTATTTGTCGAATAATTGCTCTGCTTGGTTAAAATTATTGTTAATCATCATTTTAATTCCTTCACTGGCTAAGAACGCCTCATCGATATTGTAGGTTGCTTTAGGTACATCGCTATCACTTGACTCCATGATGAAGGTTGTTGTTGTTGCTATTTGATTTGACTAGAATGATTGAAATTTTTTTTTTCCTGCCGTTTCTTCGCCTTTGCCCCTTACAAATGAAGATAGAAATGATGCCTATCAATATTACATGAATCTTCCTCTATCCAGTATAAAGTAGAATGGAGAAGAAATGGACAATATCTTACTTATTCTCCTTTCAATTTTATCAAGTATTTTTTCAACCCAGTCAATGGATATCTTGACTTGGATGACTCTCGTCAACCACTATTGCGCAGCCTATGAATACTGCTCGACGCCTTTAACCGTGTGATGCATCAAGTCTGACGTCAAAAAAGAGTACAAAGAAGTAGAGCAACAATCCATCTTAACAAAGCAACTGGGTCAAGTTGGAATCAATGGCTGGTACCGTACAATAAGCCATTATGCGAGTTTTACAGAATGCACTTACCGTCAGTGCACGACTCTCTTTTTGGCGGATTGATCTTGCATCAAAGTACAGTCGGAATATTTTTCAAAATGGCTTGGCTATTATGGTGTAGGCTGTACAGTCTATGGTCTAAAATTGCAGATAGAGTTAGTCTCTTGTACGTGTAGGTCAACTCCAAGGCTCTCTTTTTGGCGTATTGATCTTGCATCAAAGTACTGTATTTTTAAAGAAAAATATTGCCCGAAAGTGACAAAATGTTATGAAACAGTATGTACTGTACAGTCGAATTATTTTTCAAAATGGCTTGGCTATTATAGTGTAGACAGTCGACAGCCTATGGTCTAAAATTGCAGATAGAGTTAGTCTCTTGCACGTGTAGGTCAACTCCAAGACTCTTCTTGGCGCATTGATCTTGCATCAAAATACAGTCCAATTATTTTTCAAAATGGCTTGGCTATTATGGTGTAGGCTGTACAGTCTATGGTCTAAAATTGCAGATAGAGTTAGACTCTTGTACGTGTAGGTCAACTCCAAGACTCTCTTTTTGGCGTATTGATCTTGCATCAAAGTACTGTCCAATTATTTTTTCCAAAATGGCTTGTATTATAGTGTAGACTGTGCAGTCTATGGTCTAAAATTGCAGATAGAGTTAGCCTGTTGCATGTGTAGGTCAACTCCAAGACTCTCTTCTTGGCGTATTGATCTTGCATCAAAGTACAGTCCAATTATTTTTTCCAAAATGGCTTGTATTATAGTGTAGACTGTACAGTCTATGGTCTAAAATTGCAGATAGAGTTAGCCTGTTGCACGTGTAGGTCAACTCCAAGACTCTTCTTGGCGTATTGATCTTGCATCAAAGTACAGTCCAATTATTTTTCAAAATGGCTTGTATTATAGTGTAGACTGTACAGTCTATGGTCTAAAATTGCAGATAGAGTTAGCCTGTTGCACGTGTAGGTCAACTCCAAGACTCTCTTCTTGGCGTATTGATCTTGCATCAAACTGCAGTATAACTATTTTTCAATATGAACAGGGTGTGTGGAAAGTCATTTGATATTTAAAGTGCCCATTGAAATGACACACATTGGCAAAATGGCCAAGTATTTGGTATAGTGTAAACTGTACAGTTGACAGTCTATGGTCTACAATTACAGATAGAGTTGGTCTCTTGCACGTGCAGGTAAACTCCAAGCATGATAGTCCCTGCTCTTAACGACAGTCATCGTGCAGTACTTTCAAGTAGGCAATTTTTGATCAATCGAATGCGAAAAAATGCTATCGATTAGCATACTGTGTAGCACCGTTATAGAGACAGGAAATGACCTGTAAAATGGTTGAACTTCTTTCTAACCGTAATGATTGAATTCATATGCGCACACAACTGTCCATGAAGACTAACGAAAGTACAGTAGGTGGATAGCGTAGTTTGCGTTGATAAGTAATGTAATCATCATCATAATATTATTCTTATTTTGGGGGGGACAGTGCTGTAGTCAATTTCGCCCCCTCCTGTCTCGTCTCCGCTGGAATGGAGTCTACAGTAAGTTAACCGTGATATTATTATAAACTACTTTGTATAATACGTAAAATGGCATGAAATTGCTTACAACGAATGTGATTGCAAGACTCCTTCAACAGGGACTTTGAACTCTCTCACCAGTCGCTATGGATAGCTGTACACTAGAGAGCCTGTATGGAGACCCTGTATGAGTAGTACGCCATAATAAGCTAGTTCAAAATTGGATGCAACTCATGCAAGCTTTGATTTTTCTATTCGTTGACTGTTTCCTGCTGCCGGATTAATCCGTCTCCAGTTCAATCCGTTTAAAACACGACCGTCTCTCTGTCTTTGAAGTACAGTGTGTAAAACTACATGACAATGGTCGATCGTACAATATCGTCAACCATTGCAGCCATGCGGTCCATTGGAAACGGCTAGCAAAATAGCCGATTTACTGTGTACAAGTGTATATACATACTTTTGGTATACTCATAGGCGTGCAAAATCAGTTGTCCCATCCATGCCTGATGCTTTCTGCAACCATCATCAATCTGCATGACTTGTTGTTAAAGGGAGAAAAAAGCGATTGGCATTTGGTAAGACATTTCCCATTTTACACGCCCCTGTGTAATACTGTCCAGTGCGAAATACAGTACTGTACTGTATAGTATTCAAAGTTTTGCTATACTGTAGTCTACTAGTACAGTACACTTGATCCTGGAGTACAATACAAACCACTGTACTGTACAGTACTGGATTCTTTCCAATCCAATTATTCCAGTAGTCCCTGTGTACAGTACAATACAGTACAGTACGTTGTCAAAGTCTGAGAGCCTGGAATTTATAGCTCGCCTACAGTACAGTATTCAAAGTTTGACATACTGTACAGTGTGCAGTACAGTACAGTACGCCCTGGAGTACAATACAAACCACTGTACTGTACAGTGTACAGTACTGGATTCTTTCCTATCCAATAGTCCCTGACCAGGTGACCATTAGCCCTGATCATACTGTACGTTGTCAAAGCCTGAGAACCTGGAATTTATAGCTGACCTACAGTAGAGTACAGTGTTCAAAGTTGGACATACATGTACTGTAGTCTACTGGTACAGTACTGGATTCTTTCCAATCTAATAGTCCCTGACTAGGCGACCATTAGCCGTGATCATACAGTACTGTACTGTACGTTGTCAAAGTCTGAGAACCTGAAATTTATAGCTCGCCTACAGTACAGTACGCCCTGGAGTACAATACAAACCACTGTACTGTACAGTGTACAATACTGGATTCTTTCCAATCCAATAGTCCCTGACTACAGTACAGTACAGTAGGTGACCATTAGCCCTGATCATACTGTACAGTACGGTGTCAAAGTCTGAGAACCTGGAATTTACAGTACCGTACTCCCTGGAGTACAATACAAACCACTGTACTGTACAGTGTAAAGTACTGGATTCTTGCCAATCCAATACTGTACTGTACAGTAGTCCCTGACTAGGTGACCATTAGCCCTGATCATACTGTACGTTGTCAAAGTCTGAATCACTACTGTAACAGCTGGTCCAATCTCGATCCATTGACTTGGCCATTTGCTGGCTGATTCGTGTCGTAAGATTTAAATCTCAAACGTCTTCAACGCTTTGATTCACTACAATACAATTAACAACTGCGCTAGCATAGGTTCTATATGATTTGCAACTTCAATTGGAGCTAATATTCGCCAACGTTACTTCACGTGTAAAATATCCTACAAGGCAATTGATTGACTTACGAATGCAATTGATATCATCACTTGTAAACGCGCAAGATCGTCCAAGATTGAAGAGAAAGTTGACATTCAAAATTGATTACCAATGGCACAAATCGTCTCAGTCAACCAGTACGATCCAATCAAGGTAAAAAAAAAATAAAAAAAAATTAAAAAAAACTTGTATCTACGCGTCGAGTATGAGCTAGTAGTTGGTATAGCAGTCTAATCATCCGGATTCATCTCTTTGCTAGATGTTCAATTCCTACCATCACTGCATAAATTCAGATGATGATTCAATACAAATACAAATACTGTACTCTTGCTAACGAGATTAGACACAGTGTCTTACTGTTGAAAATGTTATCAACCTACTTGAAAATACAGTATAGCAGAGTAGACGATAGATATGGCCTTGGTAATGCAATCATGTTAAGAACCTTACAAGAATCATAATCTTATATATTCGTCAAGATGCCCTTCAAAATTGTCAACATATTCTCCACTTGAAAGTTTCCACCACTCTTCCACTTACTGCCAACCATACTCTTATTCCACTAACGTACTCTACTAATACAACAGTACTTATTTTTGTCACATTAGACAAGTTAAAACCAATCAAGACTTCAATACAATCCAAAATAACTTACTGTCTATTAGCAGAATTGTTTATCCAAAGAAGATTGTATTTTTACACTCTTTTTGCTACTAGTAATAGAATGATAATATCGCAAGATCCAACGATTGGACACTAGATATTACAATAAAACAAAATTAAATAAATTGAGACTTGAACGTAATCCAAAATTGCTCAGACAGTGTTGTCACTCTTCTTAAACGATTGTATTGATAAACATGTATCAACACCATCATTGCTGTTCATAACGATATAATGAAATGAGAACTTTGCAATATCCAGCAATTTTACAATAGATATTGACAGCATAACAGGATCTAATGTTAAAATGACATCAATCGTGTCCTTGTCAACGCAAATTGCTCAAAAATGGATTCACGCTCTATTTCAATTCACCTTCTCTCTTATCTAGGCGAAATTTTACGCTTGTCTGCGTTGGTTAGCGACAAAATGCTCTCCTGGTCTCATTACAAAAGATGTTGCCGCAAGCATAACCAACTTGAAAGTAAGTCAAAATTGAATAACAGAGATCGAATTCTGCTAGTGTAAACTTCTTACAATCTACACAATCCCTAAGGTGAAATCAATTACGGTACAAGGAATACTTTATGCCTGT